GTGTTTTTATTTTACCTTCTGTATGTTCTGTTCTGAGCTATTCGTACTGAACAATCTTGGCGTGGATTATTTAAATCACTTTCGAATGACTAATCACAATAATTAGACACTTTCTCTTTTTTTGGTCTTTTTCTTTTGGCTACCTCGTCCCATCGCTGACGACCAACAAGGACTTCCTGTAGGTGGGAGCTCTGGTGTGGTTTGTTTTGTTCATGTTTCCTCCTATTACTATCTATCATCCCTATCTCATCTTTTCTATTTTCTCGTATATTTATAACTCTCTCGTGCCACCCCTATTCTTCGGCAACTACATGACCTAATTGTGTCGTAAGTGCTGTAAAACTCGTACAAAATAGCCGGGGTGTCTACTCTTTTCCCAGGCATGTACTGAGGGTTCGCCGTTGAGAAGGAGGCATAATGTCCGGCTATTATTTGACCTTATTGCGTTGTAAGTGCTGTAAAACCCATACTAAGCAACCTGTATATTTATGCTTTTCTCAACCACGTACCGAGGGTTCCCCGTTCAGAAAGAGGCGTAATGATCTCCCTCAATTATATGACCTAATTGTGCTGTAAGTGCTGAAAAACTAGCTCGTACCAAATAGCCGGGGTATTTTCTCTTCTCTCAGGCATGCACCGCGGGTTCGCCGAGGAGAAAGAGACATAATGTCCGACAATTATATGACCTAATGTTTGTGCAGTAAGTGCGATTCTGGAGAGAATTTCTGGTCTTGAGCCTTCATCTGAGACGATTAAACCAAGGTATTTGAAATTGTTGACGGTGTCAAGTTTCTCGCCCCTGACTTTGATGCCATTGGTATTATTGGTCATTAGCTTGGTTTTCTTGGCACTGATCTCCATGCCGCAGGTCGCTGAGGTTGTGTCAAATAGCCGGGGTATTTACTCTTTTCCCAGGCATGTACCGTGGGGTTGCCGTGGAGAAAGAGAAATGATAATCTCCGGCAATTATATGACCTAATTGTGTTGTAAAACTAATACTAAACAACCTGTATATTTATGCTTTTCTCAGGCGTGTACCGAGGATTCGCCGTTGAGAAAGAGGCATAATAATGTCCGGCAATTATATGATCTAACTGTGCTGTAAGTAGCTGTAATACTAACTCGTACCAAATAGCTGTGGTATTAACTCTTTTCCCAGGCATGTACCGCGGGTTCGCCGTGGAGAAAGAGGCTGTGGCGTATTTCGAGGAGAACTCGGACACCATGACTTACATCATCAAGTTCCTCGACATTCAGGAAACAGACCAAACGCTGCCCAAACACGCTCGCTATCTGATCAGACCGTACCGGAAAATTAACCAGATCTGGCACACTGGCGACGTGTTCCCGTTTGAGAAGCTGCAAATTCCTCGGAACGATATGGGTGATGTGAATTGTCTTTGCCGATACCAACGTTATTGTTGGTGACTTTCTTGTTGCTTTTACTCTTAAATTATGTAGATATGTCTGTTCATTTGTTACAATATTATTGTTCCCGTTGTTTCGTTGATGTTGTTTGGTTGTTGTTTTTTCGTGTATTTGTTTTCTTCGTTTGTTTTTTTGGGGTTTTTTCATTGTTGTTGATTTTTTTCCCTATTTCTAAAAAACAATTCTAAATCCATTGATCTTTCGCTAAGTATGCCCTGTCATTTCTTCACAAGAGCAAAGTTAATCATAGACGTTTCGGAGTGACCTGTGATAGACCTTATCTATAAGCCCTGATATCCCTGACTTAGTCCTATGCTTTTCTCCGAGGACATAGGCCATAGTTTGAACTTTGGCGGGGTATTAAGGGAGGCCATTTATTAATCATGCAGAGGGTGAGAGTGCAGTATGGTCATCATCATCATTATCATCATCATCATCATCATCATCATCATCATCATCATCATCCTCAATGTCTTTTTCACCCTGGATCAGGGTGTAGGCAGTAATAAA